TTCCATATCCTTATTGCTCTTACTGTAAAAAAACCTTTTCTTTGCCTTAGATGAAATCTCCTTTCTTTCAGCCTAAATGTGTGACCTTGTGTCCTATGTATAGCCCTGTTTATGAATAGATTTCCAGATAATGGCCCCGAATACATTTGTATAATCATAACCCCTCTGAAGCACAGTTTTTCCAAACTAAAGAGATTTACATTTTTTACCTTTCTTCGTAACTTCGTAATGGTGCAAGAGCAAACATTGATGTCTAGTCACTAATAACAGAATGGCCTCTGAATGGAGTCCTGTTGCCCAAGCTTCACTAACCATTCGGCTATTCACATAAGGCACATGTGGTTATTTTAACTGTATATACAATGCAATTCATTTGGTTAGCTGAGAAAATCATCACAATCTCTAAATACATTTGCTAATTTATTCTCTATGTCTTAATAACTAAATTCCAACCTTGTGCCCTTATTTTGTTCAAATCTATTCACCTGAAATAAAACCAGGATAAGTTGTCTCTACATTTCCCCAAAGTTACCCCAAACCTCTCCTTATAACTACACCCCAACTCTACTTTCACTTTAGCAGCATCTTTTTTAATAAAGACAGACATTCTGCTCTCATTTAATAACCTATCGACTTTGTGCTATTTTCAAATAAGTTCCATTATAGCCATGAGATCCATTTGAAAATAATTAGGATCCATTGGTTTAATGTGTTTTCAGTTAGGCTGATAGTGAAATATTTTTCATCGCATAATATTACCCATGTAATATAAGAATCTCATAGTATATAAATACTTTCCCTTCTCTATTGTCACTTGCTGTTTTGCCTTTGAATCCTATTTTTTCACACAATTTTCTTTTATATAATTAGTTTATGATTAGTTTGTGTAAAACTATGGGATGTGTTGGTATTATATAAAAATGGTAATAATAACAACTAATTATTTGATTGCAATCTAAAATAGCTATCTCTATAGTTTTGCACTGTAATATGTTAAAGGGTCACTATAGTCACCAAAACAACTGTATCTTAATGAAGCAGTTTTAGTGTATAGATCAGGGGAAGGCAACCTACGGCACTAGTGCCATGCACGGCACTCGAGGTGTCTTTGCACGGCACTCAAGGCTGCTAGCGCCAAACAGGCTCTGGCCTATCAGGAGTCCCAGTAAAACTTTAAATATCTGCTAATACGAAAAGATGAAGGACAATCCTCAATTTAAGCATTGCAGCACATAGAGGAAATGATCTCAGATCACTTCCTCCAAGCACTTTTGAATGGGAATCCACAACATAGTAGAGCAGCCTGCAGCTGCTGTTGCAGCTCCTGTATTTGACCTGTACTAGGCCAGCCTGGTCCCCACTGGAACCCAGGGAAGCCAACCATACTGCTAGATGTACATAGATATTGTGGATCAAACCAAATGTTTATCTGAGTATTTGCTCCTTTCCAAATTGTTAAAATAAATGCGTGCACGCTCTGAAGTAAATTACACTGAGACACAGGTATCAGGTTAATGAAAAACTTCGTAATGTTTACTCAGGGGGCGGTAAGCCCCTCATAAAGGCAAAAATACATCATATGCAAAAATGTAGATAACAGAGAGAATACATCTTTAATTGGTTAGGTGTTAAGTGTCTTATCTAATGCACATCCTACAAGGCGTGATGTCACCATCATCCCGGGATTTTACTCCGGATGTAGGCGCCATCTCGTTACACGAGGTAGTTAGTCGGTGGGAGGGGGTGCTCTAGCAGCCATTTTGAGTAGATATTGAATACAGGTATAAACAGTAAGTGGACATTTTACTATCACTAATTTACATTCATAACACAGAAATGAAGAATAACCCTCCCCTAATACAAATAATACGAACAGCCCACACACAAACATACACACAATCTGCACAAACGTAACCCGCTAACAATCCACATACATGCACACAACCTCACATGCAGCCTCTCACATGCAATACCCCAAACAGCCTACACACACTACCAAACACACAATGTGACATATCCATCCACACGCAATTCCACAAGCAGCCCTCATAAACAGCCCACATTCATATGTATCAAACACAATACCATAAACTACTAATGAACATATACAATATAATAGCTTATATATGCACAAATACAACGATGCAAAGCAACTGCAGTAAAAATAGCACAAGCAGAATACAGCAGCATATACAGCTCAATTTTAAAAAATAGGACCGGCACGCTACGGGACATCACAATCCTATATCGACACAGTGCTGCTAAAAGGTTGCCTACCCCTGGTATAGATCATGCCCCTGAAGTGTCACTACTCAATTCTGTGCCATTTAGGAATTAAATCACTTTTGTTTCTGTTTATGCAGCCAAATCTACACCTCCCCTGTGACTGATACAGCCTGCTTAAAAAATATCTTCACTTTAAATCAGATGTAAATTACTGTAAAAGTTTGTATCGCCTGCTCTGTAAAGTAAACTTTAATTACATACTGGAGATTCCTGCATTGTCTAGCAAGCTACTGACAGAGCAGAAGTTAAGAAATTCTAAATTAAATATTTTTTTGCCTTCTTTTGGATCAACAGCAAAAAACAAATGTGAGGAAGGCTGAACATGATGGACACAAGTCTCTTTTCAGCTATGTAACTATGTAACTTTCAAAACAGGAAGTGTAAACATTAGATGACTTTACAGGAAGTGTTTGGAAGGCTGTGCAAGTCACATGCAGGTGGGTATGACAAGGGCTGTACAAACAAATGGATTTAACTCCTAAATTTGCAGATATTTGAGAAGTGAGACTGCAGGGGCATGATCTATGCAACAAAACTGCTTCATTAAGCTAAAGTTTTTTTGGTAACTATAGTGTCCCTTCAAAATGTACATTTGTTCATAAAATAAATAAGGGTTTTTATACAATATTGGCTAAACTTTATGCATATACTATTTTAAAAGCACATCCAGTGAAACATAGCAGTTTTAAATCAAACATATAAGCTAGCTAAGGTGTTTGATTTATTAAATGACACTTAACCTCAGATTATTATTATTATTATTTTATTATGTATATAGCACAATCAGATTAGGTATAGTGACACAAAGGGTAAAAGTAGGGGTTACGAAGTAGGTTGTTAGAAAAGTATTTACTGAGGGCTTAGTAGGTAATTTTTTGACAGTTGCAGGAGAGGAGTCATGGAGGGTGGGGCATAAAAACCTGCTAACAGTTTAATTGATATGCTTTCTTTAAAAAGTGAGTTTTCAATCATTTTTTGAATCAGTGGAGACTGGGTGAAATTATCTAGGTTATTCTAGTTAATCTTTAAAAAGAAAGAATGTATTGAGATCATTGTTTTATTAGTTTAATTTAAATGTTTCCAACACACAATTATATGCAAGAAAATTAGTTAAAAAAATTATAATAAAAAACAATTATATATATATATAGATTTATATTATCTATTATTTTTGCGGAGTGATTAAAATTGACCTATATGAAACACTGGTAGAACTGTTTCTCAGATATCTTTCAGGAAGAGTGGCAAATAGCTAATATATATGCATATGTAAGATGTGTCTTTGGCCCACATTTCAAGCTACACAAATCGATTCATTGACTTTCCTAACAGTAATAAAGATCAGGCTTTTTGTCCAGCTGAATGAGGCTGCTTTGTCACTGGAGCTACAGCATATGCCTGTTTAAAAAAAATTAATTCTCCAGAGTATCAAAACAAAGAGAACTCATCGTCTCTGGAAGAGCATGGAACGACTTAAACGCTTCATTGTATTAAAAATGAATGAGTCATCATTGTTGAGCACAGTGTGGGATGATCCTTAGTGTTGTCGATTAGCCACATGATTAACCAGATGACACGGGGAGGCTGCTAAGGTAAATAAGGCAGGCCTTCTGTCACATCCTCCCTGTGGATATACAAGGAGGTGCTTAGAAGCTTGCACCAAAATAATGGACTGAGTGACAAGAGCAATGAATGCAAAGCTTACAAAATTACAAGGATGAAGTCTCGAGGGGTTTTCTTTCAGACACTGTGTGAAAACATCTTTCTGGTCAATGTACATCAGTATTGTTCCCTCTCAACACACTGCAGTGAATCTAAAAAAGGCATTGTGTACTATGTATGGGGTGGTGTTACATGAATTAAAGAAGATCCATCAAGTTATATCCATTAGGGGCATGACACTAATACTTTGTTCTCCTCAAGCTGACAGCCTGTTATCATTGCCAACTATGTAAATGAAAGTATTTATGTCTGCCTTTGTGCTGCATAAATTAACTGTCTGCACTATTTGATACACAAACAAAGTACTGCATTTAGGGTTATTTATTAAAGTGTGTGTTTTTAAAAAAAATACAACATGAATTAAAATTAATTTCAAAGTTTAGAACAGAATAGCTAAATGGAAAAAAAAATCTTAGATTTTGGTTTTGGTTTCTAGTTTGACTATTTTAGCCTAAACTTTAGAATGCACTATAAATTCATTTTGAAATATAACTATTGTGAAAAACCCTGAATATTTTCAACTAACAAACGTTAGCCATTTCCTAAGAGAAAAAGACTAAGCAATGACGCATCCTGGTTTATAATTATAAAAATAAAATATAAATATACTGCTGTTTATGGTTAGCATGTATATTAAATATCTCCCTACTAATTGGAATGAGATAAATCAATATGACTTTAAAATAATTGTATTTTTTTATGATTATTATTTGTAGCACAAAATGAAATAAGTCAATTGTGAATATGCATTTGAAGACATTCAACATGAGTCAGAAATGTTTCCTACAAAATTGCAATCACACGGATTAATTTCATACAATAATATGTAATTTGATAATAACCCACATGTACTCTGTTCTAATTCTCTTATTCCTATTTTGTTGTAAATTGAGCACATTTTCATTGATACTAATAAATATAAATTTTTTGCCTAGTTAAAAAAAAAAAAAAAAACGAATAAAATCTGTCAGCAATAAAGTTGCTGTTTTGTGGATAAGTGAGTGCGCTGGATCTTGTGTATTGTGTGTGTGTATATATTTATATATATATATATATATATACACATAACACACAAGATCCAGCGCGCTCACCTATCCACTAAACAGCAACTTCAATGTTGACAGATTTCATTAGTTATTTTTTTTAAAACACCTAATCTAGGCAAAAATATTGGGGGTTTAGTTACATCATATGATCATACATTGCATAAGTCTGCCACAACGTCAATGTACCCCATCTTTGGCAGGTCCTACTCTAACAGCCTAATGTCTGCTCTTATGTGAATAACTCACTTACTTGGGGAAAAAATTCCATCTGGGGCTCTCTGCAGTACAAGGCTAAATAGGGCCCTGGGATGAGGCACCTGTGACAGGGAGGGGTGCAAAACCAAGGAGTTGGCTAGACTCCCAAATATATATATATGAAACAAGGTGGGGTGGCTGCACTCACCTGAACATGCATAAATGGGGTGCTGCTTGGGGCCAAATTATATAATACACAAGATTCAGCGCACTCACCTATCCACTAAACAGCAACTTCAATGTTGACAGATTTTATTAGGTTTTTTTTTTTTTTTTAAAACACCTAATCTAGGCAAAAATAATGGGGGTTTAGTTAAATTATATGATCATACATTGCATAAGCCTGCTACAACGTATATATGTATATATATATATATATATATATATATATAAAAAAAACTGAAAATAACGATGCACTCACATAGGAATTTTACTGTTTCAAATCATAAATGCTGTATTGATATATTTATTTATTTATTTCAATTATTTCAGCACAAATTTACATTTTTGAATAATGCTGTTGATACGCTTTTGTGAAAAAGTGAGTTTTTAATTATTTTTTTAAGGGGTGGAGACTGGGTAAGCATCTAATGGAAAAGGGAATGAAGTTCCACAGGAACGGTGCAGCCCTAGAGAAGCCTTAAAGGCAAGCATCAGAGGTGGGAGTACGAACAGAGAATAGACGTATGTCTTCGGCAGAACATAGGGGCCAAGATGATACATACTTTTGTATTAGGGAGCATAGATAGGTGGGAGTAGCATCATGTAGAGATTTGAAAGCAAGAACCAAAATTTTATATTGAGCCCTATATCTTATGGTAAGCCAATGCAGGGACTGGCAGAGGGGTGAGGTGTTAGAGGTGCGGACGGACAGGAAGAAGTGCCTCGCCACTGCATTCATTATAGATTTCAATGGGGCAAGTTGGGAGCACGTAAGACCACTGAGAAGCGGATTGCAGTAGTCAAGCCGAGCGAGGACAGTGGAATTGACCAGCACCTCAGCTGCATCAGGCGTTAAGTTGGGGTGGATGTGCGCAATGTTTTTGAGATGGAAGCGGCAGGATTTGGCAGTCGACTAGACATGAGGGGTCGGAGTCAAAGAGAACCTCTAGGCAGCGAGCCTGCGTGGTGGAGCTGATGGTAGCACCATTAATGTGGAGGGAGACAGAAACGAGAGTAGCAACACCTGAGACCAGAAGTTCTGTTTTGGACAAGTTAAGCTCAATAATTTTAAACCCTTAATGCTGCAGACTACCTTCCCATTCCTTTGGCTCCCCATACTTACCCTCTGTAGTGATCCGGTTCTAAGGGAACTGCCTGACAACCAAATTATTGCAATCACATGAACAGAATTGACAATGTTGTCATGCTTGGGTTGTCATGCAATCCCCCAAAGCTGAAAGTATATATTTATACACACACACACAATTTCATTCTAAGTGTATTTTAATATATGTCGTTTGATATTAATATATATAACTATATATTAATATCAAAATACACTTGGAATGAAATTTTTTAATATATATATATATATATATATATATTATTATATATATACACATGAGCTGCAACAAGGTATACCCTGATAGATCAGCAGCTCTCTCAAATAGCTGGCTATCTGGTTAGATGGGTATAATCACCAGGTCTCAGCTATTCTCTGGAGTGTGAAAATATGCGCTGCAATATAACATGTCCCCTCAACACCATATTTTCCTATTCTTCCAACTCGACTGGTTACAAAAACATGTCTGTTAGTCCACCCATTGTACAGTGCTGCAGAATTTGTTGGTGCTTTCTAAATATAAATAATAAAATATGTTCCATTGTCTTTCTTGAGACAAACTGGAAGTAGAAGACGGCAAACACTCATATACAGGTACACTATTTGATCAATGTAATTAAAACCAATCAATTAATAATGACAGTGATAATACAGTTTCTATCCAAAATGAAAGTATTTAGAAAATTGGGCAGACTAGATGGGCCGAATGGTTCTTATCTGCCGTCACGTTCTATGTTTCTACATATTCTCTGACAATAGTCAGTCAAAATTTAATCAATATCAACATAAAAAAGAGGCTCAATATTTTTATTTTTATTATATTTACCAAACAATTCTTATACTTATATCAATACTCATATACTCAATGTTTTATTTGTATTATATTTACCAAACAGTTCCTATACTTATATCAATACGTATATCAATACTCATGTACTCAATGTTTTTGTCTTATGTTTAACAAACAATTCCTATACTTATATCAATACTCATATACTCAATGTTTATATTATATTTACCAAACAATTCCTAAACTTTTATCAATTCTTAAACACTCAAAAGTTTTATTTTTATTATATTTACCAAACAATTCCTATACTTATATCAATACTCATACACTCAAAGTTTTTATTTTTATTATATTTACCAAACAATTCCTATAATTCTATCTGACATTAATAAAAAAAATTTAATTATGTTAATTTGTAAAGAAAATATATATATTTTCAGGTAATTCTTAGTCCAGTTCGTCCTCTAACAGTTTGTAGATGCAAGATTGAATATATTTTATGAATAAACAAAAATAAAAATGAGTGTAAATGCTAAGTACTTTTGCAACCCAATTCACAGTGTCAAACTGGAGCTAGAGTAATATTCCCCAGATAACTATCCAAAATATGCATGCAGCGAACTGATATGAACTGGGCAATAGTCCTGTCACTCTGAAGACCTCCTTGTTAACATTCACTGTTCAATTTAACTACTTTTCATTGATATATCCTGTTAGTGTTGCACATTACAGATTTATGCTGCTTTAACCCATGGCAATGATACTGTACATTAAAGGACCACTATAGTGCCAGGAAAACAAACTCGTTTTCCTGGCACTATAGTGCCCTGAGGGTGCCCCCACCCTCAGGGTTCCACTCACGCCAGGCTGAAGGGGGAGGAAGGGGGTTAAACACTCACCTTTCTCCAGTGCCGGGCTCCTTCGGCGCTGGGGACTCTCCTCCCTCTTCTGACGTCACCGGCTGAATGTGCATGCGCGGCAAGAGCCGCGCATGCATTCAGCCAGTCCACAGGAAAGCATTCTCAATGCTTTCCCATGGACGCTGGCGTCTTCTCATTGTGAAAATCACAGTTAGAAGCGTGGAAGTGCCTCTAGCGGCTGTCAATGAGACAGCCACTAGAGGCTGGATTAACCCATATGTAAACATAGTAGTTTCTCTGAAACTGCTATGTTTACAGCAGGCAGGGTTAATCCTAGATGGACCTGAAGTGGTCTGGGTGCCTAGAATGGTCCTTTAAAATAAACAAAAACAATGTTGTGTTTTTCCCTAGTATCTAAATACAAATTGGAATACATACATTCAAGAGGATCTCCCTTTTAGATATTAGACCACCCTTCTAATACCGTCTGCCTCAAAATGTCTTCCTATGCAAAAATAAATAAATAAATACTTTATTGCATTTAGCTTCAATCTTATTATTATCAATGATAAAGCTCCAATATACCCTGCTGTGCTTTATATTTATATGAGCTTACAAGGATTTGAGGTAGGCAGAAGGATACCGTTTGGTGTGTTGCCCCAGGACACTTACTGGTAAAAACAGTGGGAGCTGTAATAAATAATGCATTCATAATGAATGTTAGTAGGTTTTGGCATGCAATAAACCTGATATTTCAGGACATTATTTTATGGGTAGATGGATCTCGTGTGAGCAAGTAAAAAACATTAACACGTGAAAAATCTAGTTGAGGAGTGCCTATGCGTGCACAGTAAAGTATACTGAATAGTTTAAATGAACCCATTCAATACCCTTTAAAACATTAGAGATGTGAAGTGGTAATCATACCATGAGTCTCTATAGGATTTGGCTTTGAAATGTTGCATATACAGAGACCAACCTCTCTGCTGCTGGAGGTAAAGTTACACCTCCAGCATATGTCATTAGCACATATTTCATTAGAACTAGATTTCTGTACTGGCTAATGTTAATTCTGTGCACCCTTCATTGCTCAGAAGGACAGTCATTGGCTTAGCGTGGTCAGCTGATGCTCTCAGCCAATAAATGTTGACAACCATGGCTTTGTTTTCTGAAGTCCACGTGTATGCTTAAAGTCTACTAATATCTTGCACTAGTGGTCCTTGATTGTACAGTTACACCATTTGTTTAACTTAACATATGTATTATCTCTATAAAATCTCCTTTCTCTGTTAATTTTCACACAATTCTTCATGTAGACAAATACCATCACACAAACTCAAGGAGATCAGACAGTAGGAGGCCCTGGAATCATCTTGTACTTGTGAGGGAGACTCCTTCGTGAGCAAAGCTAAATGCAGAACTGAGAGGGTTATGGGTGCTTAGTTTTCTTCTTCTGCGATGTACTTTAGCAGGGAATTGATTGGAGGAGTTTGGACAGTGGCAAAGTTCAAAATTGATCATAAGGATAAACTAGAGAAAAGCTTTCCAAACTTTTCAGACATGCATCATTTTGCGACACAGGGGTGGTCGAGACGGTGCTCTATTTCTTAAACACGTCACCAGAAGTGACATGGAATCTGCAGTTCCAACCTGATTTACCATGCTGTGTATGCACAGTACATGTATGATCCCTCGACACTCTCGCAAACACTCTGGCCCCTATTCAGTATATAATAATTTTACTTACGCAGCCCAAGTTGGCTCTTCTCACCTTATTTACTGTTGCGGGCTGATGCGGCTGGCTGGCAGGCTGTGGCTGGCTGGCTGCTGCGACTGGCAGACTGGCTGCTGTGGCT